TTTAATAATTTAACAAACCAATTTTTTTTTATTTCCTTTAAATTACAGAAAAATATGAAGCGGGAAGATATGAAAAAATTGCTGCTGCAGCTTGGGGGGTTGGTCGACTGAGTTGATTTTAATCCTGCTATAATGTACTTTAAGGTGCTAGGGTAGACTCAATCACTGTTAAATCAAGTGTGAAACTTTTACACTCTAGCTAATGTGAGGCACGGTGCCTCACATTACCGAAATGAGCATTATTAGCTGCGGTAATGCGGGGAATCGCCGTCCGCAATTATGGGTGGTGAAAATTAATTTGGAAATGCTGATGGTTTGCGCTGGAAACTCAATGCTTGTCGTATACCCTCTGCAATGCACTTATTTGTTTGTTTATATCTCCGCAATCTGCGCTCTTTGCGTAGCCTCTCGTATACCGCGCGCTTGCTTTTACCAGGGATACGACCTCAATAACACAAGAAGTTTATGCCGTTACTATACCGGTACGACTTTAGACAGAAGCAAGAAATACACAGTTGGGAGGAAGGAAGAACGCCAAAGTAATTTTCAGCTGACATGCCATAGACCATAGACCCACGGACAGCTGTGCCGTAACATTTGTTATTCTCAGTTGGCAATAGCATACGTGTGCGGTTTGCTTGCTGGCTTCAGACCACGACATGTGAGTGCTAGGTTATATTTTGCACTTGTTTGCACTGCTTTATTGCATTCCCCGGTGACTGAATAAGTTTCGTCGCATCATTAAAAAACGATCAAAATAAAAAAAATCAATATAATAATTGTTTGTATGAAGTTTGACTTTATCGGTACCGTCAACTGCTTAAATCTGTACTATGATAACATATTTTTGTTGACAGAGCCCTTTACTCTCAGAACTCGAATTTCCTATTGACAATATGATGAACGAGGAATCCGAACCAGTGAAGCAGGAAAGTAAACCTGTCGGTCTAAAGTTGGAGGAGAGCTCTAGTGATCAAAATGCAGAAAGTAATTCTGCCGAACAATCAGAGTGTGCTACTGAAACTTCAGTACCTGTTAGTGATTTTCAGACTTCTGAAGATAGTAACTCAAGTAAGACAATCGAATCTGCTTCAAGTGTTGATCCGTTTGCATATTTGGATCGTGATTTCACCTCTGAGAAATACAAGGTTGAAATTCGGAACCTCCCAAGATTTTATGGGTTTGGGGTAAGACACTTTGGTTAGTCTGCCCATATTAAAATTACATCAGCATCCATATCTCTAAAAACATTTTTTTGCTGTTTTAGGAACTGAAAAAACTCTTCTCCGAGACCCTACAGCTCTCATGTACTAAAGTGAAACCACCACGAAAAGGGTGCTCCTGGGCATATGCTTGCTTCCGATCTGAAGAAGAGAGAACTAAAGCACTTGAAATTATTAATGGATATGTGTGGAAGAAAAGCACTTTATCTGCTCGAGTAAGTATTTCTTTGGCTGGAGTCTTTTCGGCCCCTCATTCATTTTAAAACATAATTCTTTGCTTCTAGGTTGCTCAAGCTGCTCCAGATCCCTATGTTGCTAAGCGAGCACGTATAGAGAATCAAAAGAGAGAAGGAAAGAGAAGGAAGTTTGATGTTGATGAAAATCTTACACAAGAGGAACGCCTGAAGAAAAGTACTGCACCTTATTGGAACATACCATATTCAGACCAGGCAAGCTTTTCTTTTTAAGCTGTTATATTTTCTACTCATTCTTTACCTCCTACACCTCTTCTAGGAAGGTAGAGAACGAGTATTGTGCTCAGTATGGTGTAATTTAGACCCCACTTTCTGCGAAGAAATAGTAATACATACAGCTATGATAGTGTAACCAAAATGTTGAATTTTGTGTCTTAATGAGTCAATGGTGATTTTTAAAATTTAAAAAAATAATGAATCTAAAAATTGAGCAAACTCGCTGAACCCTTTGCCAGCGAGCCACTTTTAAACTGATCACAATTTAACATGTCAACATAATAATATGTCACCCAATTATATAATATGATTAAGTTAGCTACTACAAAGTGTATCAATAGTTTTCAACTATTTCTTATACATAATTGCTAGGTAAACATTACCATAATTTTATTGTTGACAAACATTGAAAACATATCAACACCAACATAACACCAAAAGCGTATGCGCGGACAACACCATCTATTGAGAGCCTCAATAACTTGGCCGGTAGCAGATTGATGTAAACTCTGCGCATAAGTGACTTACAACAATGAGTATGGTTCTCCCTTGTGATTTAGGTAAAATTGCAATTAATAGTAATAAATATTATCAAAAATAACCTAATATCGATTCAGATGTAAAAACACCATTTACCATTTCTGAAAGTGCTAAAAATTTAATCTTACAACAAGTTATGTATACTAACAAAACAAATTACACCATACTTTAAGGTAAAGAACAAGGTTGTCCCCATTGTGTCAAATTAATGTGATCCATTCTGTTTCTTCTTGCTTATTTTGATACTCATTTTTAAAAAGCAAAATGTATTTTAATAATTTAACAAACCAATTTTTTTTTATTTCCTTTAAATTACAGAAAAATATGAAGCGGGAAGATATGAAAAAATTGCTGCTGCAGCTTGGAGATGAGCTCCTTAAAGCTAATAGTGATTTGGGTGGTTGGCTTAAAGAGCAAAGAGAGAAAAATGATGGTCTTCCTTGTCCTTTGTTGGATATACGCAGTGCATCAGTAATTGATGGATACAGAAATAAATGTGAATTTAGCATTGGTTTGAACCCCGAGACCAAGAAAGTAACAGTTGGATTTCGTTTAGGAAGTTATGCAGATGGCTCAGTTGGTGTAGCACCACTAGACAATTTGCCTCATGTGCCTGATCGTATGAAATCAGTTGCTAAGGTATGTGTATCTAATTGTTTCAAATTCTGTTTTGTCATCTTTGTTATTTTAATTGTTTTATCTTTTTTTCCTCAAGGCAATGGAAAACTTTATTGAAGAATCTGGGTTTCCTCAATTCGATCATGTAACTCACAAGGGTTTTTGGCGCCAAATTACTGTTAGATTAGGGCACGCAACAGGAGAACTTCTTCTCGTTGCTGGGATGCATCCTCAAGACTTGAAAGATGATGAGCTTAAATGCCTTAAAGAAAAGTTTGTGAAATATTTCAGTGAAGGTCCAGGTTCTAGCTGTAAGGTGCATTCACTACATTTTCTCTGTATGGGAATGAGACAGCCGGGATCCAAACACCCATCTTGTGAACATTTATGGGGCCAAACTCACATTCATGACTTCCTTTTGGGTCTAAAATTTAGAATTTCGCCTGAAGCTTTTTTCCAGGTAAATACTTTGGCTTGTGAAGAGCTCTACAAAGCCATAGCAGAAGTAGCAAGTTTGTCTGAAGACACTGCTCTTCTTGATGTGTGTTGTGGTACTGGTACTATTGGTCTTTGCCTCTCCAAGGTACATTGTTAGTTTCTTCTGCCTATTTCTTGCATATGTTTGTTTGATATTAGTAACCAACAGCATTTTCCATCCATTGATAGCAATGCGGTCAGGTCCTTGGGGTAGAGCTGATTGAGCAGGCTGTAAAGGATGCAGAATTCAATGCTGAGGCCAATGGAGTAAAAAATTGTTCATTTTTTGCTGGACGTGCAGAAGATATTTTGACAGGTGTTATTGGCCGGGCTTGCCAGAAGCAGTTAATTGCTGTTGTTGATCCTCCAAGGGCTGGACTACGTAAGTAAAATATAATTTTCTAAAAGCTATATTAATTTTAAGGTTTAGAATTTTGAGTCAATTTTATTAAAGTTTTCGTATTCTTATTTGTGCATATTTTACTTTCAGACCAAAAAGCTATAGTCACTTTACGTAGAACCAGGCAAATTGAAAAACTGGTTTATGTATCATGTGACCCAAAAGCAGCATTAAAAAACTTTATCGATCTGGGAAAACCTCCATCAAAGAGCATGAGAGGGCTGTCTATGGTGCCAGTTAAAGCAATACCTGTTGATCTTTTCCCTCATACCAATCTGTGTGAGCTTGTCATCTATTTTGAACGTATTGATACAAGACTCCCTGAAGAACGTTACCAACCTGAATAGAATATTGTAAGTTTAAAGGTACATCAATAAACAAATTAGAACACAATCTTGTTCCTCAAATTTCTATTTTATTTCGTTCAAACACTAGCAACATTTTCCACAAAAAAAAAAGAAAGAAAAAAGAGTTATATACTATCTGACACATCTAGTGACGTTTACTTATTGAATTGTACAACTTCCGGAGGAGGAAGCCACTGGATCCTCACCAGTTTCCTTCACGCGGGTAAGGTAAGAATTTTTATTTAACTCCTCAAATTCTGGTAAAGGGTTATTCCAATCAGGGGGTGGCCCATTACGTTTACTCCAAACATCACTTTTCATATGAGGTATTAGCCTTTGTCGTAGTCTTCTTCTTTCACTATCTATCACAGCCATCTGTAGAAAAGAACAAATCTTGAATTCAAAGGTGATGAGCATAAGGCCAAAAACAAAAGCAAAGATAAACACTTGAAACTAACAGCAGCCTCTTCATCTCCCGCCCAGGTCCATTTCTTACAGTTGGCTAAGTCTTTGGCCCATGTTTCACAATCAATAGTTTGACCATGAACAAAAATTTGCTGTCTACGGCTCTTTGCAGACTTACATTCTGTGTATTCATCCTCATATCTGTCACAGGGTCTTATCTGTAAAGTAAAAGTATAAGGAGCTATTGTCGATACTGTAGAAATAGAGAACACCAAGCCTTAAATAGCAGCGCTTGGCAGTAAACTGTTGTAAAATTTCATCATCCAATAAAATAAAAAACAAAATACACCACTATAAATACAAATAAAATAGGAAAATGTTAATTCTTGCTCGTTGAACTTACAAGTTTAAACTGAATGGTCTCGTCAGAGTCAGAAGAACGGATGGTGGATTTTAGGGTGTCGTCTGTGTTACTATGAGAACTCGCCATCTCATAGGGATAAGCTTTTGTTTCAGATTACTTTCAATCTAATCGGACAGCGAGTATGACTTCAACAAATGCATTAGCTTGTGCTTGTAACATGCAGTTGTCGTCTGCTACTCTATAGAAAACCCTAACCTCCCTTCTTTTTTAAAAGGCAGGCAACACGACACCCTTGAAAAAAAAAAACGCTTGCAAAGTTTAAAATGCAATTATAACTTTTACGATGTTTTTCTTATCAAAACATAGCTAAAGCAGAAATCTAGATCAGTGCATCGAGTGCAAGTTTTAGTCATTCGTCAAAAGAGAATAATCTAAAGATTGGTACATGTTGGCCATGTTGATGGTACCGCCCTATCCCCCCCCTTCCCCCCTCTCCCCTTCGCCTCCCCCCACCCCGCCCCCTCCCCTCACCACCACTCCTCTTCTTGGAAACTTGTGTGCTGGCCTGTGTGTATGATTGTTTGACTTTTCAAATCACTGTTGATTGTTTTGATTCCGTCCCAAAGTGTACCGATGAACTTGGCGTGCTACAATTCAAGCAGAACGTTCACCCTCTTCGTCGTATACTCTAGTGAAATTCGCTATTAACCTATAAGGATTTAAAACCTCTCGCTGTTATTATTAAGTTGTTTGTGAAGTTCGTAGGGCTTGTCACTTCTAGGATCTCGGTATAGTGTGGCTCTCAAATATCGGATTTTTGATAAATTATTAAATAAACAATGGCGAACTACTTAGAGGAATATGCAGAATACTTCAAGGACTTTCAGGAGTTTGTGGCAAAATTGAATTATGAAGATGACCTATTGCCTTCAAACTTAAAGTGCCGGACAGGACAAGAGGAGTTGGTGGGCGAGTGCGTTGAATGGACGCTTCGGTACTTAAGACTGACGTAAGTATAATGATTTAACATCTTCTCTTCTACTTGTATTAGTTTTGAGTGTTCACAACGTTTTTTTAAAAAAAAGCCAGTTAGTATAGGTAAATTAAATAACCCTGTTTTTAGCACCCATCAGTTTTATTGTCATTTCATTTTATTTTTTTTATTTACTGCTATACGAACAGGAAATGCCCACAGAGTCTCTTGTCCTTCCTCACTAAAACAGCACTTGATCGAGTGAAATTGAAGAATGATGAGTATACACAAGGTAACTTGCATTTAATTACAATCATTCGTGTTATTTGTCTGCAGTGCATGTAACTTACTATCACAATCACCATTTTTTCAACTTCTAGAAGGTGTACTAGCCCCTAACATGGTGGAAATAGTTAATGAAGTATGTCTCCAGTACTGCGGAAATGATAATCCTGCTCTCAGTACTTTACCTGCACCACCTTCTGTTCCTACCCCAATAGTTTCTACCTGTGCAATTAAGAATTCTCGCCGCAGGATGGAGAATAGACACGCAATTGTTGAAGATCTGGATGTTATATTTAATATATCTGTAAGTGTTCTTTTTATTAATGAGTACATTTCAAAACAAAAAAATGTTATCATCCTACATTGACATTATCATATGCTTTTGTGCAGACCTCTCGCCCTACAAACTACTATGCTATTTTTGATGGGCACTCAGGAGTTGACGCTGCAACATATTGCTCAACTCATATGCATTGCTTTATTGCTCAAAGTCCGAAGTACCCTTCTGATCCAGAAGGAGCTATGAAAGATGCTTTTGCTAGGACTGAATCTTTGTTTACAGAAAAGTGCAATCAAGAGGTGAGTTATGAAGTCCATGATATTGTGAGGTGAGATTCAACAAAAAGAGGAAAATTAAATTTTCCCTGTTTCATAATGCTTTCAGAATATCAATGGTGGATGTACAGCTCTGTGTGTTTTGCATCGCCCACTTGATCGGCAAATTTATGCTGCATGGGCTGGTGACTCCCAGGCTATTGTTGTGAGTCAAAATAAAATTCTACGCCTAATAAATCCCCACAAACCTGAAAGAAAAGTAAGTGTTCTTCTAATTCTGAGTTAAGTCTCCAATTACACATATTTTAATTAGTACCACTTTGTTGTAGGATGAGCAGAAACGAATTGAACAAGCGGGTGGAGTTGTGCTGTTCTATGGTACATGGAGAGTGAATGGTCAGCTTGCAGTTTCACGTGCCATTGGTATGAACTTATAAAATACCTTAAAATACTGTCTAAAGCTTGAAGTTTCTGTTATTTATTTGTCTATTTTAAATTTTCTAGGTGATGTGAAGCACAAGCAGTTTGTCTCCGGTGTTCCAGAGATAACTTCAGTCACACTTGATGGAGATGAAGATTTTCTCGTCCTGGGTTGTGATGGTCTATGGGACTCCGTAAAAGAAATAGAAGTTGCATCCACTTTGTATGAACAGCTTCAGAACGAGCCTGGTGAGTGATTCAAGGTGACGGGAATCAAGTTTTGTTCAATAATTAGAGCTGAGAAGCACTGTTCCTTCCGGTCAATACAATCTTGGGAAATGTCTAAAAAGAACCCAGAAAAAAGAGCATCACATGCGAGTTACTAAATACACAACTCCATCTGAAGCTGCAAACGGGGCAGAAAGGATGCATCTGGTTAATATGACCTGTATTTGTCAGAATTGTTATCATATTATTTTGCATCATGCATGACTAACATTTTAATAGTAAGTGTGCAAGCGTGTATAGAACGTGTCATTTTTAATTTTTACTTTCCAACGGGCCATGCCGTGTTCTGTATGGGGGAGAAGAATGCGAGCCCCGAGCTCCCCGCGCGACGCGGTGTAGTGCTGAGCGAATGGCTATACTCCTTGGCGAATGTGGTCGCGCACTTGGACTTGACGAAGACGTTTTGTCGTGCCGCTCCCTCCCCACCCCACCCCAACTCCTCCGTAAAGTCGTGATGAGTTGAGCGGGGAGGAAAGAGGAGAGCTGGGCGTTGGTTGGCTGAGACTTGCCCGGCGCGGCGTTTGGAGTTCGGCCGGATTCAAGCTCAGCCACGCGCGACAGGGAACGTCGACCTCGGCTTGGAGCTCGGCTCGGCCCGGCCCGGCTGAGCCTTGTTCTGCTCTGCAGGAAGCAGGAAGGCCCCCGAAGTCCAAATTCCTTTGAAAGAATAGTCCCCCCCCCCTCGAAAAGCCCTCGAAGGGCCTACGAGTCAATCAGAGTCGACCCGTACCCGGAGACCTCGACGCCCGGCGCAAGACTTCCATAGGGGCCGGGGCCGGGGCCGGCGCCAGGGCCGTCTCAGAGTGTCCGAATTCTCAATCCGACCGTTCTGAATAGGCGCGAATGGGTCGGAATGAGGGAGGGAGCCGGGGGGGGGGGGGGATTCGGACATACTATTTAGACCTATTCAGAACTGTCGGATTGGGAATTCGGACACACTCTCAGGGGGTTGGCGTGGAAGAGGTCCGCCGGCGCTTTCACGGAAATAGGCGACCCGCGTGACAGTGCACCTGTATGTAGGCGACCTACGTGGCATTCCCCACTCCTCAGACGAACCCAAACCCACCCCTACGACTCCCAGGTGGGGCGGGCCGTGGTCGTCGTCGTGTCGCTTGCAACCACCTAACCGCAGAGTATTTGTTTTCTTTTTTTTTCTTGGGGGGGGGGGGGGGGGGGGGGGGGAAGACCAACCCTGTTTTTGTCCCCCCTCTGTTTTTTTGTTTTTTTTTTTTTTTTTCGGGGGGGGGGGGGGGAGGGGCGAGAGGCAAGACCGCCACCTCACGAGGGGCGGGTTGGCGCGGGAGAGAAGAGGCCAAACTGCGGCGTTCAAGTCCCCCTGGGCCTGGGTGCCTGGCTCGGGTCCCTGTCCCTGTGCCCTTCATCCTGCCCCGTCAGGCCACGCGTTGTGGTGTGGCGGTGCGCCTCACGGGGTGTGCACGTGACATCCTGCCTCGCTGCATTTAGCGCACATCCGGTGTGGACACTGTCCAGCGCGTGTGCCGTGGGGGTAGGGGGGGGG